GTGCCTTTTAGCTGCTTTAATAAAACTATTCACATCTTGTATGTAGGAAGCTTCATGTCTTCTTTTCGTGTACGTCCATGACCTGTCCATATGTGCCCTTCAAAAATAAAAGGAATATTTACATGAAGGTATTATTCACATATAGTAAATATAGAAATTAACTAGAGTTCATGTGAGCCAAAGTAAGTTGGGCAAAATCAGTCTAAATTGCTAGGAAAAATAAAAAAAAATCTAACATCATCCACGTCTCTCTCTAGATCTCTAAGTGAAAGAAATAAACATGAAAAGTTTGAAAAGAGTTTAGGTATGCCACTATCTCACCTCTCAAACCCAACTCCTTTAAAGGTTCAAAGGGCAAAACCTCCCCCCTCTATTTTTGCTATTTCTCGCCCTCCAAGTGAGTTAATGGTGCTCAGCATCCATACCGTTCCGAGCACGTCTATCAGAGGCGGTTTTCTTAATAGAACCGCGGCTGAAGATGTATCTTCAGAGGCGGTCATGGGGCTACAGTGCTCACCGGCGCGGTTAGAGGCGGCGTGCTAGTTGAACCGCCTCTGATAGAAAAGGGTGGCGTCGCTAAAAATGATTTATGTAATAGTGATTAAATATTTTCTTAGTTATAAAAACACAACAACAAACTTCACTAAGGGTTTGTTTTGTTGAGGACTGACCGGAGCTACCTGGCCCAGACATCACTCGCAGGCATTGTTTTTTGCATGCCTAGGGCTATAAGATGGATGCCTGGCTTAGGGTCCCAACTAAACTGCCCTAGATAAGATGCCCAATGTTTCTAAAGTTTAGGAGTACTTGAGGTAAAAAAGGCAAGCCGTGGAACTTGGATAAATTACATGCCAAGTCGACACATTACCCATCTATGTCTATGTATTGAAATAATCCTCCATCTCCAGGTCTCCTTATATATTGCAGGTAAGGTTAAATGATTCCTATTCTCAGTAGCCGTCAGTTTGGACTTTGGAGAACCGTCTCTGATGACTACGTGGAAATGCGGAGGGACGTCCCTTTATTCTGTGCAGGCACAGCAGTCTTATAGCCTACTTCCTACCCGATAGAATTAACCCTACCATACCTCGGGCATAATCACCACGCATCCTGATCGTACCCACAAATCTTCTGTTATATTCCCTTGTGTGGCAACAGTGATCCTCTGTTATATTCCCCTGTGTGGCAACAGTGAATGAGCCCCATCCCCATGGATATTGCCTGCGACTTTAGCTCATCCGTCGACTTTAAGCTTTGCCTGCACATACGTGTGGGGTCGGAAAGCTCTAGGAAATCAGTGCGGGGATCTCAGCTCATGGAGATTAATTAGTTAATAAGTAATGCACGGAAGGGGCCTACTTTAGCTAGCTGGATCATACTCCCACCATGCTACGATGTCTCCTGTTCACAGCATGCACCGCTAGACGGTTGTGTTAGACATGCACGGCCGAATTCCTCAAAAACCTTCAGTATACAATTACTCTAGGGTTTTCATAATGAGTAGTTCTTCAGGCATAGATGGAGCCATGATATGGCTGCAGGTTCACATGCATACCTCATGCCTTGTTTAGTTCATTTCTCTAAAATTTAGTCTCTACCACATCGGATGTTTTGACACATGCATGGAGTATTAAATATAGAATAAAAATAACCAATTACACAGATTACGACTAATTTGTGAGACGAATTTTTAAGCCTAATTAGTCCATAATTTGACAATATGATGCGACAGTAAATAAGTGCTAATGGTGAATTCATTAGGCTTAATAAATTCGTCTCGTGGATTATTGAGGACTTTCATAATTTATTTTATTATTATTATTTAAACATTCCCATATAATACATTCATACGACACCTCTAAATTTTAACCTCTAGATTTAAACACTACGCCACTCAAAGAGTCACAGCACAGCTCTTGCACAGCTCTTGTCTACGGAGAAGTCGAAGGCTATATACTATATTCCAATTCCAAACCAGTGCTGCGTGCCCACGCACGCTGCACAGGGGATCGACGATATATAGTAGGTCACAAATTAAATGATTGTAACAAATGCAGTGACAGGCAAAGGCTAGGGCCAGCGCCGCCAGGTACACCGTGCAGGCTACCTCGCCGTGATTCCTGGGTTCCCGACCGGCACAACAGCACCTGGGTGGGCGTGGCTCCCCGCTCCCCTCGCCTACGGGCTACGGTGTGTCATCTGCTGTCACTAAGACACAACGCGCGGACAGAACTCGCACCATTATCGTCTCTGACATTGCATCAAGACAACATGCATGTTACGTACTCTCTCTCTGTCCCTGAGCTAGATGTATATCGTTTTCGGGAGAAATAACTTTTAGTAAATATATATTAAAAATATTAATATTTATGATACATAATTAGTATCATTGATAGATATTTGAATCTAGTTTTTTAATAAATTTATTTGGAGATAGAAATATTACACGTATTTTTTATAAATCGAGTCAAAATTATCGACTAGTAAATCATGACAGTACCAAGTGTACTCCTACATACGTGAAAGGATATGTAGCCAGTACCGGCTGGGCAAGGCATGCGGCCACGGTGACCACACGAGGATTGGACTTGGAGGCAGACAGCACGGCACCACCCCCGGCCCGGCCGCAGCGCTAGGCGCCACAGCAACGTCGCCTCAGTAAAGTCCGGCCGGTCAGGTTCCATCGAGTTCCGCGCCTCCGCCAGTGTGACCGCCGTCCCGTCCAAGTGGCCGGCCGATCATCTATCAGTGGTCACGTGGCTGGCCGGTGCGCCAACAGCTGAGGAGAGCTGAACTCTAGGCTGGGCTTGTGATCCATCTATCCTGATGAAACACCAGGACGTACAAGTACAAGGTGGATGAGCTACTAGTCACCTTAGTATTTATTTTGACATAATGCGTTTGATGACGATGATTGGCTCGATTAGTCTGGTTATAACTAGGGACAAACGGCTAGGGGCAAACGCCTTTTTATCCTCTACTACCACTGTGACCAGCCGTTGTTATGAAGCTCTGCTTGCTTGTGGTTTGTGGTGGAAAGTGGAAACAGGCGAGTGGTGTGGATGTTGTTTCCTTTTGATTGATATATGTGAATCTTCAGATAATTCTGAAAACCCACTTTGCGCAGAAAACATCGCTATATAGCTAGGCTTCTCTTCGTCCTGTAAGTATTGACCACGACTGAAATTGAATAATATTCCGTGCTTTATTATCATAAAATGAAAGAAAATGACATGCCGTCATTCCGGCCTATATGGAAAAAAGAAGGATTCTTATGGGTACACGTATGATTAGCTAGACATTTCACCATTACTCGCATTGGTCTCTGGTACTATGCAGTCTACCATTCTTTTTTAATCGGTTAATTAGAATGTTGCCATTATATTTTTTTGCGGGTATGAGAAACGTCACTACAATTTTCCTACTATGAAGTATATGCCATTATAATTCTACTTATGCCTAAAATCTGCCACTTTATATGTTTCCCATGACCACATATCTACGCTACATAGTTTTGTATAGACAAAAAATACCCATGTAGTAGTCTTCTTATTCATCTCTTTCTTCCTCCTCTAGCCCCTGCTTGCAACTGACCCGAGGTAATAGATATGAGGAGCGCGCAGGGAGCCCTTGATCAGTAGATCTGTAGCAATATCATCCAATAGGCAATAGTTGCATCCCCCTACTTACAAACTGACCCGAGCATATAAGACATAAGCAATAAAACTTCCCTCGCACACTAGACATGGTACTGTGTCCCGTACGCTACAACTCTAATCTACTGTGTATTAGACATTGATTACTAGTTGGAGGTAAAAAAAATCGACACGGCTTTAACTGATAATTACTCAGTTAGTATTTTATTTATGTAATACAACATACAGCTATAAGCATTAAGCAAGTAATATATTTTTTAATTACGAATCTGCTAACATTAATCTTGTGTCAAAATACTTATATATTAATAGAGTAATTGTTAGCCAAAGACTTGTCCCAAAGAAACACAATAAGTTGTGTAGTTTCAAATAGAGGGACTCATATATGTCAAGTTAGAACTATTTGGATTAGAGCTCCTCCAGGCCTTCTTTTAATTCTCTGAAGAAGTGGTTATGTGGCTAAAAGTGTTTTTTTTAAATGCATGAAGGAAGTGATTCTATGTGGGAACTAGATCAGGATAGCATGCTTATTTTATAGTAATGCTCTATCATCTACATGTATCCAACAATGATGTACATGAGAGTAAAAAGAACATTATGTATTTATTTCTCATATTTGAATCGCTTCACAGCTACATAATTAATGCACATCAACTCCTACTAACCAGCCTCTTCGTTTCGGCTGGATTGGCTTATAAGCCATGACTGAAAGTACTGCTGGCTGGTTTGGTGTGAGAGGAAAACATTGTTGACTGATTGATAAGCCAAGGCTTATAAGCCAAATACAGACTGCCGAACAGGCTGAACGTTGTAAAGTGATTCTCTATAAAATATCGTTTGGCATTGCTTCTGGTTCTTCTGCTTAGCATCCTGCTAAATCAGGCCAGCCTTAGCAATTAAGGAACTTTTAAGCTCTCCCCCACATCTCTCTTTCTCCATTCATTCTGAAGTAGACCCCACACAAGAAAGTAAATACTAGAAATACAAAAGACAACATATACTAATAAAAGGAGCAGATAAATTCATGCTTCTGCCCTTCCTTTCTCTTTCCCAGCTTTCTCCTTTCTCTCTCCTCCAGTCCTCCTTCATCCTCTCACTCTCTCTCATTGCTGCCTACTCTCCATCGACTTGGTGGGATGTGATTCTCCACCACCTCCGAGCTTGCCAGAGGTCTCTCCACCTCTTTCTTCCTCGCATACTTCCTTTTTTCTTTCCAAACACAAATCCGCAGCAAAGAAAGTGCAAATTATAAAGAAAAGATCAGAATTCAAAGCAGCCGGAAAGCTGACTAGCTAGCCTAGAAGAGTGAAAAGAGAGAGAGAAGTATATCTCAGCAGGGCCTCCATGGTGTTCCCTTCACCTTCAGTGCCGGTCTACCTAGATCCACATCCACCAAATTGGAATAACCAGGTACTGCATGAGCTTCTCTCTTCATCTCCCTCTATCTATTTAATAACATCTAGCTAGCCTTGAATCTTGATCCGTCCATACGCTTGTTCTTCTTCATGGCAAATTAAAGTACTTTGGCACAAAGATATTCTCACCTCAATGAATATTCATTGGCAATTCTGGCTTCCTTTTCCTAAAGCTAAACCACGCTCCGTTGTTTGAGCTGCTGTGGACGCGCGATTTATGAGCCGAACGATCTGACGCGCGGGGTGTCTCTCTGCTGCTCATCTGCCGTCCTGCTGTCCGATGACAGCGAGCACCTGTTGCTGCTGCTTGAGAGAGAGAGGGGGACGTGGGATGCTGCTGTGCTGTGCATGTGACCGGAGAGAGAGAGAGGGGGGGAGGTGGGATGCGGGCATGCTGCTGGCTGCTGCATGTGACCGTACCGTGCGACATGGCATGCTGCGCTACACTGGTGCCACCGGCCTCCCATCCCACTTTGAACGCGCACTGTTTCAATCATGTTTAGAGGACCTGTTATTCTATTTTTTTATGTCTAACTATAGAAAAAATTATGACTTGTTCGTATTTGTAGCAGCAACAAGGTCAGCAGCCAAGGGCGAGTGGGGGAGCCGATGCACCGCTGCTGCCCGTGGGTCCGGCGGCTGCCACAGCCGCGGCTCCGGAGCCCAGTGGCTTGCCGAGAAGCTCATCGGCGGCCAGTGCCGCCGTGGCTGCGCACGCGAGGCCCAACTCGATGGCGGAGCGCGCGCGGCTTGCGCGGATGCCGCAGCCGGAGCCGGCGCTCAAGTGCCCGCGCTGCGAGTCCACCAACACCAAGTTCTGCTACTACAACAACTACTCCCTCTCCCAGCCCCGCCACTTCTGCAAGACGTGCCGCCGCTACTGGACGCGCGGCGGATCCCTCCGCAACGTCCCCGTCGGCGGAGGCTGCCGTCGCAACAAGCGTTCGTCCAAGTCCTCCGCCGCCGCCGCCGGGTCTTCCTCCTCTTCGAAGACGTCATCCTCGGGTACGCTGCTCGGTGGTCCATCAGCTACGCCGTCCACTACTCCGGGCGCTACCGGTACGATCATCACTCCGGGTCTCAGCTCTTTCTCTCACCACTTGCCGTTCTTGGGCTCGATGCACCCGCCGGGGCCCAACCTAGGGCTTGCCTTCTCCGCCGGACTGCCGCTGCTCGGCATGCAGCACCTGGACACGGTGGATCAGTTTCCGGTGGCAAGCGGTGGAGGCACCACCATCGGTGCATCTCTGGGGCAGTGGAGAGTGCAGCAGCAGCAGCAGCGGCAGTTCCCGTTCATGACTGGGGGAATACTGGACCTTCCACAACCGCCGACGTACCAACTGGGTTTGGAAGCTAACCGAGGAGGCAGCGGCTCAGCTGCGGCAGCGTTCACTTTAGGGCAGCCCACGACGACCAGTGCTGCCACGGCAAGGCAGGAAGGGTCGTCAAAGAATATGGAGAACAGTAAAGGACAAGACATGAGCTTACAGAGGCAGTACATGGCGGCTCTACGCCAGGGATCAGGAGCACACGGTGTCTGGGATGGGAATGCTGGTGGCAGCGGCAGCGACGGTGGTGGCACTGGCAGTGGCGGCGGTTCAAGTTGGCCGATGAACATTATTCGTGGATTCCATTCTTCGTCCACCAGTGGTGGCAATGGCGGCGGTGGCTCGTTGTAGATGGTAATACTCCGGCTTGGCCAATGTCCTATCAAGAAGATATTTCCGAGATGCATGTTTGGGTTTGAGCAAATGCTAGCTATAGCTAGGACGATGGAGGAACAGGAGATGGTCAATCTGGCGGTCTGTTCATCAACTGCTATTCTTCATCAGCAACTGTAGAAGCACTGCTAGCTCATGATGGTCACAGGTAGGAGTTTAAAGTAAAGTTGCTCTTTGGTTAACCCTTTTTCTGCCATTTGGTTTTGAACTTAAAGGCGTTCGTCCTGCATTGTGTCCATAGCGCCACTTTTCTACTTTTCACACTATTGTTCACAGGGATTAATTAATCAAAATTGGTGCACGGGGTATACTATCTGATAAGGTATATTTGACATGGAGATACTGATTAGTTGTTTCATCACTACTACTATTTGTGTGGAGTTTGTATGAAATGAATGTATGTATGGTTTGTTGCCAAGTTACTTCCATATATATGTTTTTGCTTCGATAAATTCTATCCTGTATTCAGGGCATTTGATTAAAGACAGCGTACAGTTAAAGTGGAAGGTTGCAAGCACGTACTTATGAAATATAGGAGCTGTAAGATCTTGATCACATGCACTTGGTATTGATCAGAAGAGAGTACTCCCTCCTGAGAGTACTCTCTCTCCATTCCAAAGCTTTTCTAGTTATAGATTTTGCTATATATGCACCTAGACATACATGGTAAAAAATTTTAGTATGTATCTAGAAAATCTAAAATGACTTACGACTTCGAATGGAGGGAGTACAATACTTCATCGATAAATTATCCTAGTCTTGGACTACACTACTATTTTGTATGACGAAATCTTATGCATATATGATATTATTGCAACAGGAGTATCCCTCAAGGCGTACGTATTCGTCATACATTACAAGTTATTGCGGCATTTACATGGCACGCATGCTACATTTTGATTTGTAAGTTGTATGGTTGTGGTGTTGTGATATTCATATAAATACTAGTTTCGTGATTTTTTTGGTCAAACAGTGATAACACCGCAACTACATAGTTTTGAGCTAACCTTTAACCTAATAAAAAAAGAGTGTTTGAAGTAGAATAATGATGTACATGGCATTTTAATTACTTGATCTTATTCCCAATATGAGTGACAACATACCATGTGGGTAATAAAACATTTTAACCGTATTAATTTCTATGCCAGCTAGCTGACGGTTTTGAGAACACAAATGCTAGTATGATCTAGATAATTAATTAGGGTGCTATAACACTTACTAACTCTCTCTGAATCATTGGTGCAAAGGCGAATATATGTTTGTATACTTTTTGGCTAAAAGAACACTCTCCTCACTAGTCACCTGCACATAACTACTTCCTCTAGTAATAAAAGAAAAACAATTGCACACCCTGCAATGATTCACGGACCCTAAACCGTATTATATTCTAATGAAAGCTGATTTGTAAGATATGTATGTAGTTTGATATATGAAAATAACACAACTAACTAAATTTGCCGTAAACAAATCTTTCATAATTAAACATTTTTAATAGATCAGATACACATGAAACTGACCTCGACGGTAAAGTGGCATCTAATTGACTTTAGAGAACCACTGGAGGATGTGGAAAAATAGACATGGAAAAAATAGTTAAGAACCTTTTTTCTACTAGAAAGAACTCTTGTCTGAGAATTTTCTTTGGCAATACTTTTGACCATTCACTTTAGGCATGGTCTCCAGAATTTTCTAAAAGCGCCATCTCTTCATATCCCTTATATGCTATATGCGTGTTTTGTTGCATTGGTTGATCAATTATATGAGCACAAATTGTATTTGAGGGAACATAGGTAGACTAATCAACCATTCAAATGAGCGGTGTTTTCATATTTTAGTAAAAAAAAAAGACGGGTTGCTCCCTACTGTTTGACATACGTACATTTAAAAAAAAACAAGAGCTTTACATAAATATGAGAAAAATAGTTTTCATATTGTTATTTTTATCAAATCCTGGAATTTAGTAAATCCTAAAATTCCCTAGAGAGATCATCATACCATCCAAACATGGTAAGTCTACTCCAGTATCTGGCTTAATGTGAGAAGAATGTTATCTTGAAATGTAATGTCTTGTGGTAGCTAGACTCCCATCACACTGGCTGCGCAAAAAAAAAAAACGAGTATTAGCTGCAGCCATCGTATACTAATCTTGACGATACGCCCCCGGGGGGTGTCATGTCCTCGTCTAATGAAGCAGGGAAATCTAACGTGTATTTTACAAATATTCCGCTATCAAATCAGTTCACTGAAACATGTACGTAAAGCCGGTGCATGTGTGCATGCAAGCTTTTTATCAGGTTTGGCAGTATTATTGTCAGTGTACAACATGATGTAATAATAACCCCTGGTCCGGTCAGGCGGTCACTATCTAGCGCCGTAACATGATTGCGTTATGATTGGGGATCATTCGTTTTCCTTATTGAACCTATGTGAAAACTAAACTACATGATTTGTGCTTATTCGCTCTCTTCGGTCTGTGCAAGTTTCCAAGCAATCGAATGGGGTTAATCCATCACTTGTCGCATGCACATAGTTCACCCAAATGAACAAAATTATTGCTTTAGCATAAGAATCCGCTATATCTACTTCAGGCAGAACACGAGCAAATTAATGCCTCCTGTTGGCGCAAAAGGCGACCACCACCACAACGCTAGAACGTGCGGATCGCCGATCGGCAAGACCTTAGTGACAACATGCACTGAGTACTCTGGTGTTAGCGAAAACACACACCCTGGACATTCCACCACGGTGCTAGAACGTGCGGATTTGCACTGAATCGTCTAGTCGTTGCAACCAGAATGTCCAGTTCTTTGATTTTCCCGGAAGACTTTTGAATACCGGTCAGGGAAGGAAACCGCCGGGACTAATGTACACAGGGTTGCCTTAGTGTCGGCAAAGGAAGAAAATCTAGAGTTTAGATGATATTAGGACAATAAGAGAAATAAAAAGGCAGAAAAGATAAAAGATGTACTTTTTATCGATTGGATCGGATGTCCTCAATCGGCTGTGACCCTTTATACTGAGGGTGGAAAGCTATTCCGAGGTAGAGTCTGAATACATAAAAACTGATGAATGACAAATAAAAAATAATGGAATCCAACTCGAACTCGGGTGGCTACACCGGACCGTCAGGCGTCAGGTGCAATACACCGGACTGTCCAGTGAGTGCAATCAGCAAGGGGCTACCTATTTTAATTGGGTGCACAACTTCTGAATTCTTACCGTCTTCATGTTAACCATCCGCGACATCATCAATTAAATAAACGTACGAGCCCTGTCTTCTCTTTGGAGCACATAGTAATCCGGGTGAAAGCTCAGTGGCGTCTGGCGTGTACATGTATCCCTATGTACAATGTACATGTGTGGCTAGATTATTGCCCCTAGATCCTATAGCAGCAGAGTAGCAGTAAAGCAAGTGAGATATGTCTCGTCTCCGAATCGATCAGTAGACTAGCATGCTAGCTAGCTAGGCCGGCAGCTGGGTAGCTTTGAGAAAGAAGAACAAGAGCCTTTTGACCAACCTGCACACCATGTTTCGTCGATCTCATTCATTCATTCATGCCTGTGAGTAGATCGATCGATCGGCCTGTGCAAACAACTACAATACCTCCGGCGCATGTGTCCTTGACTCCTTTCATCGCCTTCACTGCACATATTTCTGTCGATCTTTCGCTACCCACATGTTGTGCTATATGTATTTTTTCTCGATCACGTAAAATATTTGCGTCTTTATATTAAGGTAGAGAAAAAGTTCAATACAACACATGTTGTGCAATATGTATAGCTGGCTCAGCTGCTAGGACTTGTGCTTCAGAATGCATGCATGAGTCTGATATCTGTGGTGGTCTTCCTTGTGCTTCAGAATGCTCAGCTGCTACTCCATCCGTTCTAAATTATAGTTCCTATGGTCTTGTCATAATATAATTTATTTAATTTTGACCAAATTTCTAAATAAATATATGAGCATCTAGAATATATCAAATAAATGCATACTAAGACATATTTCATGATGAATTTAATGAACCTAATTTGATGTTATAGATGTTAGTGTATTCTCTATAAATAAACTTGAGTAAATTTAGAGAAATTCGAGTTAGAACAATTTAAAGTGACCTATAATCATGGGCGGGCCTATCTTCATCCAAGGGTATTCAACAGAACACTCATTGTTTTTTCACCAAAAAATTATACATATAGTGTATACATGCATGCATATTAGAAGAAATAAGACTAGAGTTAAAATAACAAGGTATTCATGAATTAAGCAAAAAAAACAATAGTACTCTCCCTTCCATTCCCATCGGCCCAACAAGGCACAATGACCCAATTTTCTCTTAACTCCCTGTCGCTCAGCGTGTGACTCCGGTCCGCTCGGTGCATGACTCGCGTCCACTCGTTGTTTCACCTCTTCTCTCTTCCAAAAAATGTTCTTTGAGATGGACCAAGAGGTATCACTGATTATAACTTAGAAGGTATACAAAGGATCATTTTGGTATATCAAAATGAAAATTCTTTTTTTTGAAACGTTAAGAACAAGAAAGCGACTATGACAAAAATAACTGAAAAGATGGGACGAATGGCTCGACCAAAAAAAGAACAAAAAAGAAAGGTGGGGGACTAAGGGATCCACTGCGCTAGAAGAGCTAGCGACACGAGATTCTTGACGGTAGCATGAGCCCAAGTAGGTGCCTTTTTCTCCAACTCCCTGTCGCTTAGCGTGTGACTCTGGTCCGCTCGGTGCATGAGTCTCGTCCACTCGTTGTTTCACCTCTTCTCTCTTCCAAAAAATGTTCCAAAATCCAAACTCTAGGTCCGAGAAAGCGATAGCGGGCCAATAGCACTACGATGAGGTGAACGACAGATGGTCACCACTACTTCAGCCTTTGAGGCTATAGACGGTGTCCGCTCTTCGCTTGGCTTGGCTTAGGACGACCAGCTAGTAGTTGCGCCATGCACCTACG